TCAACAGGGTGGGGCAGTTGCTTCTGCCTGGAGGCTAATTGTTACTTTTAATCTCTTAAATGGCCTCAGGAAAAGGTGTTTTCCAATAGGGCAGTGGTTCTCAACCTTGGCTGCACATTAGAATCACCTGGGAATCTTTTTAAAATCCTTATTTCTGGGCCTCATCCTCTGGAAATTCTGTTTGTTACTAATGTTGTGGCCCCAACCCATAACAAAGAAACAGATTTCCGGAGGATGAGGCCCAGAAATCAGGATTTTATAAAGATTCCCAGGTGATTTCTAATGTGCAGCCAAGGTTGGGAACCACTGCAATAGGGTGTGTTGACTGTCTTCTACACAGGCAAGCCAGATGTCTGTGTGGGAAAGATGTCTTCTGCTGTGTGAGGGAATGACTCAGCCCAGGAAACTTGGGCTGTCTGCCTTCTGAGCTCTATCCCCCAAGTCCTCAGTCCTGGGTTTTGCTCTCACAGCTCCAGTCCGCTTCACCCTCCCTCTGTCAGAGCACCAGGTGGGTGGCTCCACTGGGAATTTTTGTGCATTGGCCCTTTAGGAGGGTGCCCAACCCTTCAGCTGCCACTCCCTAGCAGACAGCACCCCACTGCTTTTCACAGCTAGATGGTGATGTGGGTACCCTTCTCCTTTGGTGTTCTCTGCTGGGGAGCCCAGCTTCAGGATTAGATCCCAGAGTTCTCAGTGGCTCCCTTGCCGGGAACCAATTCCAGCATGTCATAATATCAAGAGTTTCATCAAAAGGTTGATGAGACTTGGGGACTCAACAGGGTTGAGTCACACATATAGTCACCTGTTGGGAATGGCTAAAGGCATTTCCCCAAACCTGAATAGGAAACTGATTGTGGCTGCCAGACAGTTAAAGAGCATCTTAATCTACATGTTATTGCTTCCTACTGGCTAAACACCTGAACAACCGTAGGCTATTCCCCCATTCTGACAATGGACTCTGTACACTTTGAAACCTTGCCCTTTGAGGTGTATTATCTCCACCTTGCCTTAGGACAAATTAATAAAAGCAAGGGTCCTAGACAAGGAGGCACTCTTCAGTTCCTTTAGCTGAAGGTCCTCTGACCCCCAATGCCTTTAACTCATCTCCGGACTCTTAATTAGTCTCAGGATTCCTATGTCATCTACGCGCAGCACCTTTTCCAAATTCCTGAACCCTTCTTGATGCTGGGACATGAACCCCGGCACTCCCTGTGGGTTTTTTTTAAAAGGAAGTTTTAAAAGATATTTGTGTTTTGTACAGTTCCAATCAGTAGAAACTTCCTGAACCCCAAGCAGAAGCTGAAAGAGAAAAACAAGAGTCCCAACCTTGAGGGATTTACATTCCAGCCTACCTGTCAATCATTGTCTACCTCTTAACAATACTATTAGGTTTCAGTTACCTTATGAGTTTGCTTCCACACAGCTCCATAAAAGGAAGAAAAAATTTGGCATATGAGGCATGAACTATTGATATACCTCCCCCCCACACTTTTTTTTTTTTTTACTTAAATGAAGTCTTTGTTTTAAAAAAATCTACATAGACCACTTCCTAGCCAGATCCCCAAAGGGCTTCAGGAATCTCATTGGTCTTTCATGTAGGTGATGTGGGGTTAGAGCAGCCTTGGGCAAACTACGGCCTGAGGCCGGATCCTGCCCCGTTCGGCTGTTCTATCAGGCCCGTAGAGCCGAAAGAGCCGAGGGTTCTCTTGCTCTCCCCTCCGCTCCTTCACCAGCAGCAGTGTTAACATGGCAACATCGGGAAACACAGCCGCAGCTCCTTCTTCTGAGTGGGCAGATTTATATCCACCCATTCAATAGAAGGAACAACCTCTCAATCTTCCAGAGGCTCCTTGTAATGCCCGCGGACGCATCTCCTGACATCACCCTGGGAATGCGTAGACACGTTATCGTGGTGATGTAGGTAGACATGCCCCTGGAGAGCACAGTATCAGAGCCTTTCTGAGGTAAGATTAAGAGCTCTACTCAAACACAATTTTTTCCTGTTCCCACATTCTGTACATCACAATGACTTGTTAATAAAACAATAAAGACTTTCAGCTGTAAAAATGCGTGCCACAGGGCATTTGTGTTAACATGCACCACTGCACATTAGCATCAACGCAAACATGATGGAAACCTGTGTACCCTGCATTAACCCTAGCTGCGCTGCATTGCAGTACTGCACCACACTGCAACGGCAGCACGGCTAGTGTGAACGAACCCTAATTCAGTGGGTTGAACAAAAAGATTGTATAGAAATGTGATGAACTAAAGATTTTATTACAAAATCGCTTAATTTCAGGGTTTCAGAGGTAATTGGACAAATGAAAAACTGAAAATCAAATGATCATATCTAATACTTGGATGAAACCCTTTCCTGGTAATGACAGCCTGAAGTCTTGTACTTATGGACATCACCAGATGCTGGGTTTTCTCCTTTGTAATGCTCTGCCAGGCTGTCACAGTAGGGGTATATATATAAATATCCTGCCATTTCCAGCTTTTACTAAGAAAAACTGTTGCAATGGGCATTTAAAAGTGGCACTTGGTTGTTTTTATAGAGTCCAGTGGATGCAATCTGACATTGATAATGGGCTCTTTCACACTATGTGCACTGCGGCTGTTTTTTGCCAGTAACGGAAGTGATAGTGGTAACTACTGGTTACCCATGTTTTTAATGACGTAAAGGACACTGCTCAGCTCTTAATTTTTATCCGAGGGATTAGTGACAATTTTGAAATTACGGAGGAGTTTTTAGCCGTGGAGCCACTGAAAGGAAAAACACGGGGAGAGGACTTGTATGACCGGGTGTCTACTGTCATCGAGAAAATGAAGCTACCATGGAGTAAACTTGCTAATGTCACGACAGATGGATCTCCAAATTTAACTGGAAAAAATGTTGGACTGCTAAAAAGAATTCAGGATAAAGTGAAAGAGGAGAACCCTAACCAAGATGTTATTTTTCTTCACTGTATTATTCACCAGGAATCATTGTGCAAGTCTATATTACAACTTAATCATGTTGTTAATCCAGTCGTAAAGCTTGTTAATTTCATTCGAGCAAAGGGACTTGAGCACCGTCAGTTTATTAAGTTTCTGGAGGAAACTGATGCGGATCACCATGACTTACTTTACCACTCTCGTGTCCGCTGGTTGAGTTTGGGCAAAGTTTTCCAACGAGTGTGGGAGCTCAAAGAAGAGATTGGTGCATTTTTGAAATTAAAGGGGAAGTCTGACGAATTTACTGAGCTGAGTGACAAGAATTGGCTGTGTGACTTTGCATTTGCTGTAGATATATTTTCACATTTGAATGAGCTAAATGTGAAGCTACAGGGAAAAGATCAGTATGTACATGACATGTACACTAATGTGAAAGCCTTTAAATCGAAGCTGATTTTCTTTTCCAGACAAATTTCAAAGTCTTCACTCATTTTGCCACACTAGCCACACAGAAAGAGACCATCCAAAATGTGAAGAAATACAGCAAATCACTGGATGACCTGCATGTAGAATTCTGTCGTCGGTTTTCTGATGTTGAAAAAATTGACCAGCCACTTCAACTGGTGGCCTGTCCTTTGTCACAAAACCCTGAAACAGCACCAGAAGAGGTGCAACTGGAACTCATCGATCTTCAGTCTGACTTTGTCCTAAAGGAGAAATTCAGCTCTCTTGAACTAAGAGACTTTTATGCTTCACTTAATGAAGCCACTTTTCCAAACATCTGGAGGATGGCACAGAAGATACTGGTGCTGTTTGGGTCAACCTATGTTTGTGAGCAGACATTTAGCGTCATGAACATCAACAAAGCCCCTCACAGATCCAGCTTAACTGACGAACACCTCAGATCTATACTGAGAATAGCCACAACAAAACTAACTCCAGACATTGATGCATTAGCTAAAAAAGGAGACCAACAACACTGTTCCCACTGAAGTTGATGTTTTAAAGACCAAAAACCTTTCAACCCAGTCTACATTGCCATCTACATCTACGGCCCAGGCATAATTTGGAAGTTGCACTAAAGAAAATGTTTAATTTACTGTTTACACATTTTGTTCTTTTCTGTTTGTTTTAGTTTTAAATTATTTTATTATATTTAAGTTTAATTTGAAAGGCTTTTGTACCTCTCCTTTGTTAGGCAATTTTATTTTGCCTTTGCCATCTTCAATATAAGGTATGTTATTGTGCTATGATTCCTCCATTTTTTGAAGTTTCAAATTATAATAATTAGTGTTTACATTCTTCTTGTTAAAATGTTTGAAATGAATAAAACTATTGAAATAATAAAAAAAAGACCGTACCCTTTTATGTAATGATGTTTACTTTGAATTTATATTAGTTCACACAAACACTCCATCCATGCTTTTGTTCCAGCCCTCCGGTCCAGTTTAAGAACCAATTGTGGCCCTTGAGTTAAAAAGTTTGCCCACCCCTGGGTTAGAGCCTTTTTTCCTGATCTAACAAGAATGGTGAACATGGAAGGCTAGGCAAGAAGTATGAATTCAACTAATACAATTGGTACCATAAACCATGACCCCAGGCTCCAAGCCTGGGGTAATTATTGGTGTGGCCCAGGACATCAGCTGGAGGGAAGGTGCTAGGGGAAATGGGAGAATAGGACAGTTTGTATATTCTGATTCATTTGGAACCAAAGAGGCAAACCAGAATCCAATCATGACCTCTTAGGAGCCTTAACCTGAGTGTTTATTATGATTTCTAGGGAAAGGTTTAGGATACGTAATTTTGCTTACGTGTACGCATGAACATGAGTTTGCTCAGCTGTCTAAGATTAAGACATTGGCAAATCCCATCCAAAGTGCTGACTCATGGAAATCCACATTTAGAGTTCAAGGAGATAAAATGGGACATTGTGTTTTAAATTCTGGTCCAAGGTTCAGATTGTGATTATAAAACAACTCAAATTGGCCTTACAGAGTCCTATAAGTATCCCATCCTTGCAGCTCCACATACCGAACCATCCTGGTCTTGTTCCCCACAGAATGGGTCTACTCCTACTCCTGGTGCTCTGCACCTTGGCCATGAGCTGCACCACTACATCTGTGCCCCTGAAGGTCCCCAGCCACTTGCCTTTCCTCCTTCGTGGCTGCAATGATGCAGATATGCTGGCTATGGCGGCATCTGTCCTGCAGGACATCAATAACTACCTAAAGGAAGGCTATGTGCTGAGCCTCAACCGAGTGAGCGCTGTCCAAGAACACAGACAGGCAAGTGACAATAGGCCACAAGCTGCATAGGCCAGGGACAAATATTGGCAGATGCTTTCCAACTTGGAAACCTGCTGAGAAGTCTCTGCTCCCCTCTGCTGGGTTGTACTACATGCTTTTACTGTTAAAGGAACAAGTGCTAATAGTATCTTACTCTGACACTTGTCCAGTGTCCCATAGTCTATAAGACATCATCAAAAATATGATAGTCACTGGTCCCGCCATAAATCAGAAACATTTTTGACCTGTCTTTAGGGGTTTCTGCTTCATGTGGGCTGTGGTACATTTTTTCACCCCTTCTCACAGGATGGTCTGGGATCTCTGTTCTATTTCACACTGGACGTACTGCATACTACCTGCCATGTGCTCAGCAAGAAGCTGTGGAGGGACTGTGAGGAGAGGCACCTGCATGAACAGGTAAGTGTTTGTATCCCAGGAACTTTAGGGGAGAAACAGGGTGTCCTCTGTCTACAAGGTGAAGATTGCTCATTGTGTGCCATCTTTTATTTTTAAAATTTATCTTTATTGTTGAAGTATTACAGATGTCTCATCCCCCCCCTGCCCCATTTACCCCCTCTAGTCTGCCCCTGCCCCCTGCCCCCTGCCCAAGGCCTTTACCACACTATTGTCTGTGTCCATGGGTTTTGCATATATGCATGTAAGTCCTTTGGTTAATCTCTTCCCACCACCTACCTAGCCCTGTCTTCCCTCTGAGATTCATCAGTTTGTTCCATGTTTCTATGTCTCTGGCCATATTTTATTTTTTTAAAATATACACTGAGTGGCCAGATTATTATGACCAGCCAGATTATTATCACCACCCCATCAGTACTTCATTGACACTTCCAAAAATTACTGAATATTAAAGACTTTCTAAGCAAATACTCTCAAGGTTTTATTATTATTTGCATAGCTAATTCACTTCATTGTACTGAAGGGTGGTCATAATAATCTGGCCACTCAGTGTATTTTTATTGATTTCAAAGAGAAGGGGAGAGGGAGAAAGGAATAGGAACATCAGTGATTAGAGAGAATCATTGATTGGCTGCCTCCTGCACATCTGACAATGGGTTCCTCCTGCATATTCCACACTGGGGATAGAGTCCAAAACCTGGGCATATGCCCTGTCTAGGAATTGAAGTGTGACCTCCTGGTTCATAGGTCAACACTCAACCACTGAACCATGTGGGCCGGGGGGCCCTGGCCATCTTTTAAATATCCTTCTTTATAATCTCTTGACAATGGTGACTCTGTGGTTATTCCAATTCTATTAGACAAAACAGAGTTTAATTTGGGGGAATTTATGAGAGTCCCACTGGGGTTGTGATCCCCAAATTGTTTCCTAGTTCCAAGACCCTTCTGTAGGCTCTCAGCCTGTGTTTGAATTGTGAGAAGAAGGTCTGAGCTGTAGTGCTCTGGATGTGTGTTTAAGGAAGACTGTGGAAGCAGTAAAGGAAGAGCTTTTTATTTGTTTGGGTTTTTTGTTTGTTTGTTTTTTGCTTTTTTTGTTTTAATGAATACTAATATGAAGTTTGAGGCTGGGGAATGGAAAGGCTTACAGTTGAAGCTCTCAGAGGTGCTGTGGAAGAATTTTCTGGAATCATAGGACCTAAAGGGTCTGAGAATTGATCCTTTTAAAGATGACAATTGAAGAGGCTTGGAAATAATAATTTTTATTTGTTCTCAATTATCCTGAGTTATTTCCATTTATTGATATGACACTTTTGAGTACATGATTGTGTTTAGAAGTAAGCTATTTGATCAAGATATCTTTTCTTATCATGTAACCAGATTTCTCAAACTGCAGCTATCTGATTTTTTTCATATTTCTTTTTAAAATTTTTTTTAAATTGCTTAAAATATTACAAAGAGCATTACATATGTCTCCTTCTGCACCCCCCCCCCCCGCCCCCACATTCCCCTGGCCTCCCCTACCTCCCAGTGTCTTGTGTCCATTGGTTATGCTTATATGCATGCATAAAAGTCCTTTGGTTGATCTCTTACCCACCCCTCCCAACCCTCCCTGGGCTTCCCACTGTAGTTTGACAGTCTGTTCAATGCTGCTCTGCTTCTGTACCTATTTTTGTTCATCAGTTTATATCTGATTTTAAAGAGGTGTTTCTGGGAGTCTCATTTACCCTCTTGTAAATTATATTTATTAAGGTTACACTAGCTGCTAAAACACATGCCCAAAAAGTATATACTGATTCCAACATGATAGAAGTTATTTCTTATTCATATAAATTCAAAACAGAAATTCTTATTCAAGAGGAGGCTTTCCTCCAGGAATGACTTGGAGACCCGGGTTCCTTCCACATTGTGGCTCTAGACCAGCCATGGGCAAACTACGGCCTGCGGGCCGGATCCGGCCCGTTTAAAATGAATAAAACTAAAAAAAAAAAAATACCATGCCCTTTATGTAATAATATTTACTTTGAATTTATATTAGTTCACACAAACACTCCATCCATGCTTTTGTTCCGTCCCTCCGGTCCAGTTTAAGAACCCATTGTAGCCCTCCAGTCAAAAAGTTTGCCCACCCCTGCTCTAGACTCTGCCACCTTCAACTAATGGCTTCTGTGGTCACCATGCTCATCTACATCAAGCTATAGAAATAGAAAAGGCATGGTGGACAGATGGCACATAGGAGATCTTCATGAGCCATCTTGGAAGTGATTACAGCCACTTCTGCTCACCTTTATGTTGTTAGAACTCAGTTATACACAGTCACACCTAATTGGGAGGGAAGCTGGGAAATGTAGTATGGCTGTGTCCCAGGAGAAGTTCAAATTGTTTGAAACTAGCCCCTGGCAGTTTCTCACTCTCAAAGCCACCAAAATTGACCTTAAAATTTTCATTATTTAAAAATAAAATGTGCAGCCTGGCTGGTATGGCTCAATGCTGCTTGAGCATTGACTTATGAACCAGGAGGTCATGGTTTAACTCCTGGTCAGGGCACATGTCAAGGATTGCAGGTTCGATCCCCAGTAGGGGGCATGCAGGAGGCAGTCAATCAATGTTTCTATCTCTCTCTCCCTCTCCCTTCCTCTCTGAAAGAAATAAAAATATATTTAAAAATAAAAAGTCCAATTTCATTTTAGGGGGTATTTAAAAAAGTCAGAGTTTGTACCATGATGTCATAAAATATGTTTGTTGGTTCCAGGTGTATGGCAAATGCAAAGCATTATATTATGTGAACATGCCACTAAGAATTCTTTATTTACCTGCTTATAACTGTACTCTTCGCCCAGGTAAGAGAGCACTCTGAATTTGTTTATTTTAATGAAAGATGAAAAAATGAATTAAGCAGAGCTATGCTCCTGTTCTTATTTCCTATTCATACCAAGGCCAGGTTCTTAATGTATCTGATACTTGTCTCCCCTGTGAAATTCAACTTGCACTGCTCTTCTTCCCATAATTAGTCTTCCTAAATTACCTGCAATAGTTTTATTCATGAATATTGAATTAAATCCTAAATTTTTAGTCTGACATAAATGGGATCATCTCTACACTGGTCCCCAGGCTCCCTTTCTAGCTATCTCTGCCATTACCTCCCTGACTATATCACCTTTGTACTTCATTCAACTGAAAATCCCACTCTTTTCTGAATACACATTGCACTTTCCAATCTCTGCATCTTGCTTGTACCTTTCCCTCTGCTGAGGATGCCCTCCCCTGGTACCCACACCCTTGTAACTCATATTTATTCTTTAAGGTCCACTGCCAATGTTCTCTATAATGTTCTCTATTCAGGAAAGGAACAAACTCTCCTGCTCTCATGCCTATGAAACTTTAACCTAACCACTCATGGAGCACAGACCATGCACTGCCTTGATTTCAAGTCTTCTATCTTATTTCATGCAGAATATTTTATACCTTCTTTCTTCCTGCTACAGCCTCCCCCAAGTCCCTAACAAGTGTAAGGAGTCCATAATATTATTGAACAAATGAACTAAGAATGAGGATGAATCTAATGACATTTCAAATATGCATATGTATTCATTCTGGATCCTTCTCTTTGGAAAGCAAGCATCCAAGGCATAGGGAAATTAGATATGGCTACTTGTCAAACTATTATGTGCATGTGACTCCCCTGGGGGATCTTGTTCAAGTACAGACTCTCATTCCACAGGTCTGTGGTGGGGCCTGAGAGTCTGCATTTCTAACAAGCTCCAGGTCATAACACTGCTGCTGGTTCCTTTGAGGGACAAAGCAACAAAACAAATGTTGTATTAGCCACAGTTGAAGCTTCCTGGTTGAGAAGATGAGTCTTACTTAAATTAGAAAACAACAACTAATAAAGCAGATCAGGATTCAAAAGTCATAGGTACCAGAGGTATGGGAGGTCAGAAAGTGACACATAGGGTTGGTGCCACAAGTGACAAACTGTGGATGTAACTCCCCCAAAGAATAGCCAAATACACTCATATTAATGCACGATTGATCAACTGTTTTGCTCTATAAAAACTTGCAGAGAAGTTCCTACCCTCACTTTCACACTAGTTTTGTAACCCCCAGTCAGAAATTCTGCCTGTACCATTAGAATGATTATTCTAGTCAATCATACAATGAGTTGGCCAACTTCTGGCTGACTTACATTTTTGAATCAGAGAGAGAGAGTGCTTGCACCTTTAATATGTCACTCATTTATTCACTCAATGAGCATTTGCAAAGCACTTACATTATCTTAGGTGTTGGAGACTAAGAAATGAATAAGACATACCAATAATAAGATCCCAACCTTTTAAGATACTCAGCTAGTTTACAGAGGCAATAATGATAGAAGGTATTGAGCTACTAATAGGGGGGAAGGTTTTTGTATCAATATAAACACATATGTGTTTTGAACAAAATTCTGAGCATAAATACATTTGTGTTAGGTAAAAAGAAATTTTGCTTAGATTTTTTAATACATTATTGAAGGAATACATGCTCATTGAAGAAAACTCACTGCTGATAGCTAACTTTCATTCCAGATAATGCCTTTTCCATGCCATCCTTTTGGAAACTGAATATCTTTTTTTATTTAATCTCTGCTTTTGCTGTGGTCATATGATTTATAGGATTAAAAACCATTAAGGAGCTTTATTTTTAAACTACTCTCTTTGGCATCAACAGTTTCTCGAGGAAAGATTCAGAATATGTGTCCTGACTGCCCCATCCCCGCTAACTTGTCAGATCCCAAAGTTTTGGAAACTGCCACAGAGACACTTGCAAGTTTCAACAAGGACAGTGAATCAGGGCAATATTCTCTTGTCAAAGTCACCCGGGCTTCTAGCCAGGTGAGGTGGAAATGCCCAGTTACACCAACAATGTCTCATGACTGTTGCTATCAATTTCTAAACTGAGAGGAGAATGTTAAGGCACTTCTTTGGTCATAATCCAATCTTTACTCCCTGCTTTGGTAGACCTGAAGCACATTCAATCAATTATGTTTCAGTTTCTAAGTTATTCCATGAAATTTCCACAAGAGTTGTGGGATTTGATTTTACCTCATTGCCTTTAAGGCATGAATGGAAATGGACTCAGAGTCTCCTTGGTTTATTCTACCCAGGTTCACAATTTACTGCTACATTCTCATATCTGATTGACCATGGATCTCATTTAGCAGGTCAGCTTCTGCTCCATGTTAAGGCCTGGAGTGGATGTTGAGTTTTGTGGATTAGGAGAAATGGAGGCTCATCTGCATTTGAATTATGTTGATATCTATCATATAATGAAATACTAATCTAAAAACAAAACTGCTTGAAGAAAATTAAGCTTACCCAAGGGAAGGTTATTAGAACCCATTCAAATCCCTAAAAGGGAAGAAAGGAATGCTGATTATAATGTTTTCTAAATAACAAAATCATAATAGGGGCTTTGATCATGGTGGCAATTACAGGGACAACAGGAGACCTGTGTTGACAATGACTCAGGGAATGTACGATTTTTATAAATATAATGCTGCCAAACCTCAGCTGTTTCTCTACATAGAGAGGTTTGATTTTTATTTCTCAACTCTTGTCTCATACCAGTGGGTGTTTGGCCCCTTCTACTTTGTGGAATATTTAATCAAAGAGTCACCATGTATCAAAACTGAAGCCAGCAGTTGTGGATATCAGCCCACTCACTATGGGGTAAGTATTCCTGAATGTCTTCATAATTTAAGATTTGTGTTCCCAGATCATCTATAAGTATGATTGAGCATAAATTATGTATGAGCTGTCAAAGACACTTTTCTTCTCCTCAAGGAGTAACTGAGTAATTAGAGATTGTGGTGGCTCAGATGCAATAATATTTTATTGTAAATACAATTTTCATCAGCAATGTTATGCCTTTGCAGTAAAAGATCATAGATGCTGTAAAATATAGAGAAACCTTCTCAGTGGTTGATTGTGGTCCTACTTATATCTGAACAAATCCAGTTACATTTAGAATACAGTTTTATTCCTTGGGCCACTCTTTAAGAAGGACAAAGTCAAACAGGACGTCTTTGAAAGAATTCATCCAAGATGAAGAGGGTGCCTTGAAGCCATCTGACATACCTGGTGGGAATGCCAGTTGGCACAATGTGTTGTAACACAATTGGACAAAATGCCTCAAAGTCTTTTTCCATTTATTTACTTATCCTATCTAATAAAAGAGAAACATGGTAATTAGCCGTACCTCCGCTACCCTTCTCATTGGCCAATCAGGGCAATATTCAAATTAACTGCCAGCCAAGATGGCGGCTGGCAGCCAGGCAGCTTGAAGCGAACATGAGGCTTGCTTGCTTCAGTGACGGAGGACTCCAACGTTCCCCGCCTGCCGCTGCCGGCCTCTGAGCTTGCAGTTTGAAACATTTTTACAAATATAGAAGCTAAACAAAACCCCAGAAACCTGCTTTCAGCCAGCTGGGATCTCAGAGCTGGAGTTGAAACAGTGTTTTGATTATAGAACCCAAACAAACCAGATACCTTCTTTCAGCAGCTGAGGCCTCAGAGCTGGAGTCAAGCCTCAGAGCTAAAGCTGGCCCAGAATAAAAAAAAAGAAAAAAAGGAGCAGTTGGGAGCTTCAGTCACCCGCCAGCCTGAAAACAGCGCTCAGCCCCTCACCCAGACTGGCCAGGCACCCCAGTGGGGACCCCCACCCTGAAGGGTGTGTGACCAGCTGCAAACAGCCATCAGCCCCTCACCCAGGCTGGCCAGGCACCCAAGCAGGACCCCCACCCTGATCCAGGACACCCTTCAGGGCAAACCAGCCGGCCCCAACCCGTGCACCAGGCCTCTATCCTATATAGTAAAAGGGTAATATGCCTCCCAGCACCAGGATCACCGGCACCGGGATCAGCGTGACAGGGGGCAGCGCCCAAACTCCCTGAACGCCCTGCGGCTCTGTGTGTGACAAGGGGTGGGGCCACAACCTCCCTATCTGCCCTGCTCTGTTCGTGACAGGGGAAGGCACCCCAACCCCCTGATCAGCCCTGCTCTCTGTGTGACAGGGTGTGGTGCCCCAACCCCCCCCCCCCCATGGGCCCTGCTCTGTGTGTGACGGGGTAGAGCCATAACCTCCCCATCGGCCCTTCCATGAGTGTGACAGTGGAGGCATCCCAACCCCTTGATCAGCCCTGCTCTGTGTGTGACAGGGTGAGGTGCCCCCCCACCCCCACGGGCCCTGCTCTGTGTGTGATGGGGTAGAGCCATAACCTCCCCATCGGCCCTGCCCTGAGTGTGACAGGGTGTGGCGCCCCAACCTCCTGATCTGCCCTGCTCTGTGTGTGACAGGGGGCGGTGCCCCAACTCCCCTATTGGCCCTACTCTGTGAGTGAGAGGGGGGAGCTCCTCAACCCTCTGATTGGTCCTGCTCTGTAGGTGACAGGGGGAAGCACCCCAACCCCCTGATTGGCCCTGCTCTGTGCATGACAGGGGGTGGTGCTGCAACCTCCCCATCGACCCTGCCTTGAGTGTGACAGGGGGCAATGCCCCAACCCCCCAATCGGCCCTACCCTGAGCGTGACTGAGGGTGGCATCGCAACCTCCCGATCCGCCCTGCTCTGTGCATAACAGGGGGCGGTGCCCCAACTCCCCAATCAGCCCTGCTCTGAGCCCGACCAAGGGCTGCACCTAGGGATTGGGCCTGCCCTCTGCCACCCGGGAGCAGGCCTAAGCCAGCAGGTCGTTATCTCCCAAAGAGTCCCAGACTGCGAGAGGGCACAGGCTGGGCTGAGGGACTCTCCCTACCCCCCAAGTGCACAAATTTTTTTTCACCAGGCCTTTAGTTTATAATAACAGCTTTATTAATACATAATTCATACACCATTAAATTCACCCTTTTAACCTATACAATTTAGTGACATTTTACTGTATTCTCAGAGTTGTGCCACTGCCATCAGTATTTTATTTTAGAATATTTTCATCAGTTTCCAAAGAGACTCCATACCCATTAGCAATCACTCTCCTTAGTCCTTTACCCATGCCCATGGAATCCACTAATTTATTTGCTATCTCTGTGACTTTACCTTTATCTGAACATTTCATATAAAGGAATCATACTGTATGGCCTTTTCAATCTGTCTTCTTTCACTTAACATTTTTTAAAAAAATATATTTTATTGATTTTTTTCAAGGAGGAAGGGAGAGCAATAGAGAGTTAGAAACATCGATGAGAGAGAAACATCGACCAGCTGCCTCCTACACCGCCCCCCCCCCCCCCCACTGGGAATGTGCCCACAACCAAGGTACATGCCCTTGACCGGAATCGAACCTGGGACCCTTCAGTCCGCAGTCCGACACTCTATCCACTGAGCCAAACCGGTTAGGGCTAACATAACATTTTTAAGGTTTATCCATTTTGTAGAATGTATGAGTGCTTCATTTCTTTTAATTATCAAATAATATTTAATTGTAGGTATATACCACATATTATTGATTCATCAGTTGATGGATATTTGGGTTTCCTCATTTGAGCTATTATGAATAATGTTGCTATGAACATTTGTGTACAAGTTTTTATGGATACATATATTTTCATTTCTCTTGGATATATACCTTGGACTGGGATTGCTGGGTCATATGAGAACTCTATGTTTAACCTTTTGACTAATTGTGAAAAGTGACTGCTCCAGTTTTATAAACCCACCAGCAATATAGGAATGTTCAATTTCTCTACACACATGCCAATGCTTATTATTATTATCTGTCTTTTTATTATAGCCATTTTACTGGATATGAGGTAATATTTTATTTTGGTTGTTATTTGCATTTTCCTCATGGCTAATGATGTTGAGGAACTTTCAATGTGCTTACTGGACAATTGTATATATTCTTTGGAGAAATCTATTCAAATCCTTTGTCCATTTTAAAATTGGCCTATTTATTTTTTATATTTGATGTGTAAGAGTTCTGTGCATATTCTGGATACAATCCCCTCATCAGATATGTGGTTCTCAAATATTTTTTCCGTTGTCTGGATTGTCTTTTCATTTTCTCGATGATGTTTTTTGAAGTACAAAGTCTTTAATTTTGATGAAGTCGTAGTTGTCTATTTTTTCTTTTGTTGAATGTGTTTTGATGTCATACTTAAAACACCATTGCCTAATCCAAGATCAGTAAGATTTATGTACTCCTATGGATTTAGCCAATGGTTTTATAGTTTTAGCTCTTATCAATGACCCAATTTTAGTTAATTTTTGTATATGATGAGAGGTAGGAGACTCAACTTTATTCTTTTGCATGTGGATATCCAGGTGTCCTTTGTTGAAAGGACTATTTCTTCCCCCATTTAATTGTCTTGCATACTTCAAGAAGATCAATTGACCATAAGTATAAGGGTTTATTTCTATACTCTCAATTTTTTCCCACTGATCTATATATCTATTCTTACACCACTACCACTCTATCTTAAATATTATAGCTTTGTAGTAAGTTTTAACATTGGGAAATGTGAGTCCTCCTTGCTCTCATTCAAGATTGGTTTGGGTATTCTAGATTCCTTGAATTCTTACAACAATTGTAGGATCAGCTTGTTAGTTTCTATTTTTAAAAAGGCAATTGGAGCCCTGGCTTGTGTAGCTCAGTTGGCTGGAGCATCATCATGTATACCAAAAGGTTGCAAGTTCGATTCCTTGTCAGGGCACATACGTACTAGTACATTGTGAGTTTGATTCCCAGTTAGAGTGTGTACAGGAGGCAACTGATCAATGTTTCTCTCTCATGTAAATGCTTCTCTCTCTCTCTCTCTCTCTCTCTCTCTCTCTCTCTCTCTCTCTTTCCTTTTCTCTCTCTCTCTCTCTCAAATCAATAAAAATATGTCCTTGGGTAAGGATTAAAAGAAAATGGAGTTGGTTATTTGAGAGGGATTGGTTGCATTGAATCTGTAGATCGGTATGGGAAGTATTGTCATCTTAACAATATTAAGTCTTCCAATCCATGAATATGGGATGTCTTTCCATTTTTTTAGAACTTAATTTTTTTCAACAATGTGTTGTAGTTTACTGTGTACAAGACTTTTATTTATTTGTACACCTAACTATCTTATTCTCTTTGATGCTACCATCATATATTTGTCTTCTTAATTTTATTTTTGGATTATTCATAGCAAGTTTATAGAAATAAAATTGATTTTTATATATTGATCTGTATCTTGTAACCTTGCCAAACTCATTTATTAGTTCTAGTAGTTTTCCAGTAGATTCCTTAAGATTTTCTATATATGTGCAAGATCATGTCATCTGCAAATAGAAATAGTTTACTTCTTCCTTTCCAATCTGCATGCCTTTATTCATTGATTTGACTAATATTCCTGGCTAGAACTTCCAGTGCAATGTTAAATAGAGGTGGGGAGAACAAATATCCTTATCTTATTCCTGTTTTTAGCGAGGGAAGGATTCAGTATTTCATTATTTAATATGATGTTAACTGTAGGTTTTTCATAGATACTGTTTATCAAGTTGAGAAAGTTTTCTTCTATTGTTAGTTTGTTGAATATTTTTATCAAGAGAGAGTGTTAAAGTTTGTCAAATGCTTTTTCTGTGTTAATGAAACAATCATTTTATTTCCCCCCTTTTAATCTATTAGTATTATATATAGTAATGATTGATTTTTCTATATTAATACAGTCTTGCACTTTGGGAATGAATACCAATTGATCATAGTGTACA